TTTATAACAATAAAAAGTTTATTTTTAAACTGCATTATGTAATGTTATCTTGGTGAGGTCTCAAAACTACACATAACAAATGCTAGAGATAATCTTTGTTTGTTATGCGTTTCTGAAAAGTCTTAAAAATCCCACATTGGTCGGGCCCTACTCTTTAGTCTTTCTAAGAATCCGACTATGGATGGTTGGATGTTTGGGTGGTCTTAACCTGGGTTCTTGCATGTTTATAGTCAAATTTGATGTTGTTTAAGACCTTTTAAAACCTCAACAAATTTAAGACCCCAAAATTTTGAAACAATTTCTTTGATAGCAAAGAGATGCGCGTAAGATCTCTTTTTAATGAACGAGGCAATGCCATATTTGGTAGCTTTATTTTCACGACAAGTGAATGACTTTGCAAATTCCGAATCGGGTAACATAGATGCTGTTTACACCTTACGCCGGACCGAACTTAAGTTTCAATTTCACTTTCTGGTCGAGCTAAGACAGAGGTAAAATTGGATAATCCATGGAGGAAAACAAATTACGGTGAAAAGACACACTTATCGTTATTTTAACCTCATTTTATATTTCATTTTTTCAACCTGTGAAAGTGAGAAGAGGATGTGATGTTCGGTTGTTTGAGCTACACAGAACGATCAGATCTTCCTCCAGCCACTTTGAACTTAAACTTGTGTCTCACAATCTCGCAGCCAAGACTGACGACATTGAAATATGACACGCAGCCAGACGTCAACGTCTGCAGCTAACGTAATATTAAAGTTATACTCATGATGGGGACTCGCATTGTCAGAGACTAAGTTAATCAAACAAATACACGGTAATTAGACGTTTTGCACATTTGTCTTTTGTTGACACAGCTTTAGGAGATGTTGGGAGGGCTCGGTTTGACGCGAGGGATCAAACCCTGCTAATGCAAACACAGAGCAATTGTGCAGGAGTCCCATAGAGGCATGGATCCAGATTGTGATCTTAATACCATTAATTGTCAGCCCTAAATGGCACAGCAGGCTTTGGAAACGCACACAATACTTGTTAGTAGATACATGCTGGTTGTGGTCTTTTTATTTTCATTGTTGACAGTAAAAAAAAAAAATAGAATATCTAGTCTTGGTCTGGCTGGCAGAACTGCAGTTTTTGTTCATAACACAAACGTTAATCTCCCTTACTGATGAAACAGCTTACACTTACATCCTGGGTTCTCTGCTGATGACGCAACCTGCCATGTCTGTCAATCCCTGCATGATGAGACAGATTCACTTCTCCACATTAACCATCAGTGCACGTATGAGCAGTCCATTTTTATTTTTTAAAGCGCGGCCTATCCCTGCTTTGCTCTCAACAGGATATGAAAGATGAGGAGATCACAGACAGGGACGGGCAGAAACCCAAAGCAGACACAATAGGAGTGATGACTATCTGCACAGCCGGGGCCCGAGAGGCTTTGGTGATTCTCGACGTACCAGGAAACTTATTTAGAAGCGCTCATGCCTGGGCCATTATTGCAGACAGCATATAAGCAGCGGGGAAGAGAACATCTCTGCAGATGGAGGCACTCTGTTTCTTGAGGAGAGGGTGAGCAACAGACGAGGGAATGATGAAAGGCTAACAATCTGGGAGCATTAGGAAACGACGAGAAGATGCAGACACGGGAGAGGGCTGTTGTATTTTCCATTTCAATATCTGATAGCGTAATTTCCCCTGTGTAAGGGGGTAAATGTCTGCCTCGATTCTCAAAATCCCCTGACTTGTTTGATTATCTCTCTGAAATGTCTCTAAAACATTGTCCTCTGACTGTCCAGCAACCAGTCTGAGAAGTGAAGCCAGTGCTGAAGTGCCTTAAACCTGCATTCTGGGGGGGACTCCATTGGTTGTGATTGTATATACACTGCTCAAAAAAAATAAAGGGAACGCTTAAACAACACAATGTAAGTCCAAGTCAGTCACACTCCTGTGAAATCAAACTGTCCACTTAGGAAGCAACACTGATTGACAATCAATTTCACATGCTGTTGTGCAAATGGAAAAGACAACAGGTGGAAATTACAGGAAATTAGCAAGACACCCCCAATAAAGGAGTGGTTCTGCAGGTGGTGACCACAGACCGCTTCTCAGTTCCTGTGGTTCCTGGTTGATGTTTTGGTCACTTTTGAATGCTGGCAGTGCTTTCACTCTAGTGGTAGCATGAGACGGAGTCTACAACCCACACAAGTGGCTCAGGCAGTGCAGCTCATCCAGGATGGCACATCAATGCGAGCTGTGGCAAGAAGGTTTGCTGTGTCCGTCAGCGTAGTGTCCAGAGCACGGAGGCGCTACCAGGAGACAGGCCAGTACATCAGGAGACGTGGAGGAGGCCATAGGAGGGCAACAACCCAGCAGCAGTACTGCTACCTCCGCCTTTGTGCAAGGAGGAGCAGGAGGAGCACTGCCAGAGCCCTGCAAAATGACCTCCAGCAGGCCACAAATGTGCATGTGTCTGCTCAAACGGTCAGAAACAGACTCCATGAGGGTGGTATGAGGGCCCGACGTCCACAGGTGGGGGTTGTGCTTACAGCCCAACACCGTGCAGGACGTTTGGCAAATTCGCCACTGGCGCCCTGTGCTCTTCACAGATGAAAGCAGGTTCACACTGAGCACACGTGACAGACGTGACGGAGTCTCCATGTGCTCGCCAGAGGTAGCCTGACTGCCATTAGGTACCGAGATGAGATCCTCAGACCCCTTGTGAGACCATATGCTGGTGCGGTTGGCCCTGGGTTCCTCCTAATGCAACACAATGCTAGACCTCATGTGGCTGGAGTGTGTCAGCAGTTCCTGCAAGAGGAAGGCATTGATGCTGTGGACCGGCCCGCCCGTTCCCCAGACCTGAATCCAACTGAGCACATCTGGGACATCATGTCTCGCTTCATCCACCAACGCCACGTTGCTTTAGTCCAGGTCTGGGAGGAGATCCCTCAGGGGACCATCCGCCACCTCATCAGGACCATGCCCAGGCGTTGTAGGGAGGTCATACAGGCACGTGGAGGCCACACACACTACTGAGCCTCATTTTGACTTGTTTTATGGACATTACTTCAAAGTTGGATCGGCCTGTAGTGTTTTCCACTTTGATTTTGAGTGTGACTCCAAATACAGACCTCCATGGGTTGATAAATTTGATTTCCATTGATAATTTTTGTGTGATTTTGTTGTCAGCACATTCAACTATGTAAAGAATATTTAATGAGATTATTTCATTCATTCAGATCTAGGATGTGTTATTTTAGTGTTCCCTTTATTTTTTTGAGCAGTGTATTATCGCCGTTTCTCAATACCTGTTTGCCAAGTTCTTACTTCTGTACTTTAAAAGCTTGGACTTGGCAAGTTTGGCTCAGGAGTACAAACTCCCAGGGATGGGAGCACGCAGTTAGTCATTCGGTCGACGGCCGGACCCGTTAGCGGCAAATTTTCCAATCAACCCTGTCTTTAGAAAATCGACCACATATTTCGAGTTTAGACAACTATATTCCCCCATTAAAAAAAACGTACACGATAACAACAGTACTATAACTTACAGTTGTGAGTTTTCTCTTCTGCTTTTTGGAGGCGAGATGCATTCTGGGATACCTGGCTTATAGACGGGTTTCTTTTCTACAAACACTACTGGATGTGTGCAGCCAGGGGGCAAAAGCGCTTTGGCAGCCGGTCAGAAGTCTGTAGTCAACCACTGTAATCAACGTAGATTACGCATTACAGATGCACTTTGCTAACCAGCCTAGCTAGCTCCACCCTCTCTCCAAATATGGCCACGTCTGGTTAAAAAAATAAATAAATAAAAAAACAGGATAGCAATGGCCAAAATGCCAAACTCCAAGCTGAAAAAACATTCAAACATTAAACGTCTCAGTGGCTACGTCCTCTTCTTTTATACAGTCTATGCTGTGAGCTCACAGCAATAAGCTCAATGAGCAGCAGCCAGTTCCATGCTTCCAGTTTTGCCATTTAAGCTACATATATACTTTTGGAGCCTGAGAGGGAAACTGCAGGTGCTACTGTACTCAGGGCTGGAAAAACAAATACTGTAAAGTCCGATGCACTTTTAAGGGGTAAAAAAAATGTAACCTATATTTTTATTCGCAGTGAATATTCTTCGTTTATGAGTCAATAAAGTTCAAGGTGGTGAAGAAATGTCCTATTCATGGGCTCCATCGAGGAAATTAGATGTGATTTTAAGTAGTGTTACGGTATACAGCTTTTTTAATGTTTGTTAGAATATAACCACTTTCATGATTTGCCATGTATTGATGTAAATGCAGAAAATAGCATACTTTCTTTTTATTTCTAATGTAGCTCAGACTGAGACCAGAATTACATTTTTTTAAACTACGCTTGTTCTTCCTGCCTCAATTTAAAAGAAATGAATTCATGATAGTTAATATTTTTTATATTGTTCACTTTTACAAACAACGTGACCTCCAGGATGCACTGGGGCGGTTTGAGGACGCTGGGATGAGGGTCAGCACCTCCACGTGTGAGGCCACGGTTGTGTCTTTCATGTTGGTTTCTACTGTTTTGTCCGGATGAATTACCGTTCTGGTGTTTTATTTTCATCTATTTAAATAATAGGTGTAAAATGTACACATACAGTAACTGAATCAGGAATCAAAACTCTTTCATCACATCATTCTTTAAAGTTTTAGCACATTTCCCCCAACTGTTAACGAGCTGGATATTTTCCTTTTTGTCACACTTCTGTGTGATTTTAACGCCCGCAGGAAATACAAAACATCTTCCGTTAACACCATCAACCAGGAGCCTTGAATATCCACAGTGAAGAATAATGTACAGAGCTTCAGTTATCACTTACATAAACTAAACAGGCCTTAAGTGATCCATCACAGAAAGTCACGACAAATCAAAAAACAATTAGTTCTTAACGAGAATAATTAGTAATTTTGTGCCTTTCAGCACTTAAATGTCAAACAAATCACTACAACACTGAAAGAACAAAACTTTTGGGATTTTGTTGGCAATAACAAAAACATTTATTTCTCTGTTACAGATACATTTAATGTTTTCCTCCTGACATGGCAGCTACAGCAAAGATGTAAAAAGATTAAAATTAAAATCCTCATTAAGAATGTGTTGTTTCTGTGTTAATTAACCACCACCCTTTACGTCGACAATGTTTTTATGAGAGCAAACTGGGAAGGAGGCATTGACGTCCGATATTCTGAAAGAATCCCTTCAAATTGTCAGTTTTATTATTTTGCCAGGCTGACGTTTCTTGTGCGCGTCTCACTGATGTGTTTTAATAGTTTTTGAACAACAGAGAGATCAGATACAGGCTTCGATACACACTCAATACTTGTGAGAACGATGAGTTCATTGTTGGGTAGGATCGTTTCAAGAGATTTCTTGACAGTAAGAAAAATATAGCAGGACACCAGACTTACTCTTTAGCTAGTTTTGAAGATTGTGGTCATGGTCAATGAGATGTAGTCCGAGTGTTCCTTTTAGGGCCCCTAGCCACAGGTTTCTACAGATGCTGGTTTAGTCCTCTTTGGTCATATGGCCCTTTCGTATGGGGGATCTTATCTGTCCGAGGAGGTGAGGAGACCTCCGATCCTCCACATGCAGATGAAAAACAAGGGAAACTCATCTGACAATAGAAAGACGCGCTGTTCCAAGTGACTCAGGAAGCCCATCTGCTCCGACCCAACCTCCACCCCGCACGGTACCTTTGATTTCTGCAGGAGCTCCTCCAGGATCCAGAATAAATGGCACGAGTTCTGATACTGGTCCAGGGGAAACTTGTCGAGCCCGGAGCTCTCCTGCTCCTGGAAAGTAACAACATCGTCAGGGCTTATTAGAATTACGACCTCCGAGACACAACAGTGCTATACACCGAGCAGCCGTAACGTTATGTGTGGGTGGGATCTATTAGTTAGCAAGTGAACATTGAGTCCTCAGAGTTGATGTGTTACAAGCAGGAAAAATGGGCAGCATGAGGATTTTTAGAGACTCTGACAAGGACCAAACAGGGTCAAGGGCGACAGGGTCACGGACGGCCAAGGCTCACAGATGCACGTGGGGAAGCGAAAGGCTGGCCCGTGTGGTGCGATCCAACAGACGAGCTACTGCAGGTCAAACTAATGAAACAGTTGATGCTGGTTCTGACAGGAGCATCACAGTGGAGTCCAGGACAGGTCAGGGCTGTTTTGGCAGCAAAAGGGAGACTTAACTTATGACCAGCAGGTGGTCATAATGTTACGGCTGACTGGTGTATGAACAAAGGCCAACTTACAGGGTGGTGTCAGGTAAAGGTTGTATGGTAGCATACTTGTGACAACTAATGGCCACAGATTTAATTAGATTTAAAAAACTTCTAATAGTCTTTTACAACCAATAAAAAGGAATCACTCTTGATATAAAATGAACCATAATCCATCCAGCTCAGACATCCTGCTAAGGAAAGTGTTTCGGACCCAGCTCTCAATCTGGTTTTAAAAAAAGTTTGTCTGTTTCCCCACCTGCTGGAAAAGTGAAGCCTGTTAGAGCTGGCAAACATCTCCCCTCCCCTTGAGACTGCGTAGCTGAGCAGGAACGCTTCTACAGCAGCCGAGGCTGCATCTTTTGGCTGCTGTGTAACTCAACATTAGCTCAATTTATAGAAAGTAACTGGTAGATGTATTTTATTACTACCTACTTGTCCAATGTTGATCATCAAGTACGAACTGAGAGTAAACTGGTGCAGCCTGCAGCTCTGTCCTGTACAGACTGATTCAATTATTTTTCAGTTTTCAGGTGAGTGTAAAAAAGTGGTTGTTAGGAAAGGAAAGGACAGAGGTGACTGTAGAGGAGCTGAGGTTAGTAAAGCTAATTAGTGTTGCAAACTAAGCAAATGAGGAGACGTTTCTTTTTGGATTTTAATCTGCAAATAAAATGCACCTCAGAAGGGAGGAGGTTTCTCATGCTGCCAATTTTTTATATTAATGTTTACAGATAAATGTCAGAAGCTGTAAAATGAAGACACAAAAGGCAAACATGAACAGTCGTATCTATAATGATTTTGAGGTCATATTATCAGGGTTTTAGGGGGTGATGCCCAAAACATGCTGTGCCATAAATGTCTAATCACTGTGGAGCAACAGAACAAACCAAAGTACTTTCCACAAATCTAAAGGTTGTAGTTCCTCCAGTAGACTGATCTTTTCCAACTCTTTGTTCAGAGATATGGTGAAAATAATGGCCCACTATGATGTGAAATTACATATTTGTCATTTGAAAACGTATCATCATCCTACCCCTCTGACCATGACCACCACAACCAACACCAAAACATTCATCTAAAGCTCACAAAAAACTATGGAAAACACTGAGGTTTTATGCTATACTGACGTGCATCGCATGCTCATGGACACAAGAGCAATGTTGCTGAGACATGTTGTGTTGGGCTTTTATATTCAGACAAAACTTTTGCTTCAACTCCGCTGCTACAACTCCATCCTAGGAGAGACACTGCACACTTTAACATTCTGTAAAGTTACATTGCCTTTTTTATTCTAAATATATTATGGCACTATTTAGGAGCAGAGTTTTGTTTGGGACTTGGGAACTCCCTTTGGGCTTTTTCATTTTGCAAACCTATTACATGCACAAAAAAGAGATATAACATAATAAAGGAGAGGCAAAAAGACAAAAAGCAGAATATGACCTCCTGAAGTTCATCAGCTGGAGAATCTTTTCCAGCAATGTCACATAAGGATGTTTACTGTCCTTTTACACCTTCTCAGCTGTGACAGACCGATAGTATCCAAAGCATCTAGTACGGATGGTGAAAAGTGAATCCACCCCACTGGCGTCTTTCTATTGCCGAGCTTTTTGACCTTCCTCTGTCAGAGATGGGCAACGCTTCCCCTGACTCTGCTGCTTCCGCAGTTACTTAAAATGTTCCTTTCACTGCCCGACAAAATCCCCGCTGGGCTAAATGTTGTAGAAATGTTTTGTTTCAACATAAAACCAGTTCTGCAGACTTGTCTGTACCCATCTGCTGATTCAGGAGTGCCCTGGGCTAACCACACCCAGAAGGTCTCCTACTTCAGCTTAACAGCTTCCTTCATCTTCGGTGTGGACTAACAGGATCTGGGCTTGCAGCCATTACAATGTGGTGTATAACATATGTGCATTTGACCATTACAGTAACATAATACTCTGCAGCTGGAGAGAGGCACAGTGAACCCTTAAGGGGAAGTAATGATTGATGGGTGTGCAAAGAGTGAACCCTCCTATGGAATTTGACCTCTGACCCAGTGGTAGGGGGAGTAGAGATTAGTGTGTATGAAGGGACTGTGCCCTTATATGGTATTTAGCAGATACCTAAACATGTCCTATATAAGCTGTGTTTGATGTACAGAGAGACAAAGTGGTTATCGGGCTGGGTCACTCTCCAAGCTGCTGCAGAGCTTGTACTTGATGCTGAATTCCTTGATGTAATAAACTTTTATGATCAAGAACAGTGTCAAGCGGATTTCTTCTCAACACATCATCGCAGCATTATCGTTCGGACACCACAACAACCAGCTGGCCTCCGAGCAGCAGCCTCCACTCCAGCGGTAGCTTGGCACTCTCATGTGTCGGAGCTTCCTAACACGTCCTGGAGGTCAACCAGCACAAATACCTCCTCTGATGGGGAGAAATACTTAAGATAAAGACATTATAGACGTGAATCATTACTCAAATTAAACACTGGACAAGCATTCAGGGATGATGGATTGATTTATGATTTTGCAATATGCCACAAAGACTTGCACGAGCTATTTAAGTACAGGTCACAACACAGAAATATGAGGTACGACGTGTGATTATCTTCAGAGCTGAGGCATCCAATCCATGAAACACCACAAATATTAATTATTCAAATAAACAGAAGCTACTGGATTCCTTCCAGGCTGTATCTCAGTGTGCCTTTGTAAATGTGCGTGTGCTCAATGTCACATAGAAAAACAACCGCCAGATGGCTGTCAGGTATTCCTCCAGGCTTACACTTCCACAGGGCTGACAGAATTTGACAACACCACCCCTTAACTACACACACAAACACACTCTAGACCCCATCAGGATCGGGTCACTTATAACTTCGCTAAATTTTTTTTAAGTTTTAAATCTCTGTTTCTCTGTTACAGCTACAGATTATTTAAGACAGAATTCCTCTGCACTCACAAAGAAGATTGATCACTAAAAAGTGTAATCAATAACATTAACATGTTCCCATGCTGTGAACTAGGACTGGGCGATATGACCAAAAATGTCATATTCTATATCAACGGATAAATGTCAAATCAATATTTCTTTCCAGTTTAAAGGCTGATTTTTACACCTTAGTGAAAGTTGAAGAAACCACATGGTTAATTGTGGTTTTAAACTATTTTTTCTGTGATGCACTGGCGACCTGTCCAGGGTGTACCCCGCTTTTCGCCTGACGTCAAGTGGTTGACCATGAGATAAAATTCATTAAAATCTTTTTTTCAGTCCCTTTTTCTCAACAAAATAAATATCTTAACAGAAGAATTAAGTGCTACTTACAAATTAATTAAATCAAACCTTTATTGATCATTTGTTAATTACCCAGTCAAAGGAGTGCAACCTCTCTAATTAGTATGGCATTAATTACTTAAAGGTCCAGTGTGTAATATTTAGGAGGATCTATTGACATAAATGCAATATAAAGATCCATAACTATGTTTTCAGTGGTGTGTAAAGACTTTCTATAATGAACCGTTATGTTTTTATTACCTTAGAATGAGACATTTATATCTACGTAGATCGTAGGTCCTCAAACTGCTATACAGAGCACATTTTGTCACTACATTGACTATGTACGAAGAACAACAACAACAAGTAACAGTAGTAGTACTCGTCGTCTGGTTTACAAGAAGTAACAACTGACGTGAAATTTGAACATTTTCACTAGGTGAGGGGTGCACTCACTGTTGTTGCCAGCGGTTTAGACATTAACGGCTGTGTGATGTGTTATTTTGAGGGGACAGCAAATTTACACTGTTACACAAGCTGCACACTCACTACTTTACATTATAGCAAAGTGTCATTTCTTCAGTGTTGTCACATGAAAAGATAGAATCAAATATACTCAAAAATGTGAGGGGAGTACTCACTTTTGTGAGATACCGTAGATCCATTTTTTTTTAATGTACTCTAACTATATCTTCGACTCAATATTTATGAACATGTTGACGACAAGGTTGAATTTGATTCAAAGCATGGGCCTGTTCTATTACTGTGTTCAGAAACATTAAAAAACGTATGCATAACTCAGACTTGCTGTCTAGTGTTAGACCATTTATTAAAAGAATGAGAGTGTGATAACAGGTTCCAATCATGTGTCTGAGCTGTGAATAAAGGGCCTGTACTGTATATATGTATGCATACAGTGTTTGGTGAAACGCTGCCATTATTAGATGATGCCAGGCAGCTTGACACAGAGGCCTCAGATATTCACACTGTCTGCTGCAGCAACTGTCAACAAAATGCAAAGGACATATTGGATTTGACTGGACACGGGGAGGGAAGACTGCAGCATAATGTGGCTCTGCAAATCATCATAAAGATGATGATTGTCTGAGCTGTATCCAGGCACAGACTTTGGACACAATGTCTCTTTTGAACTCGGCACATTTAAATGATTTATTACCACCCTGAGGACTCCACCGTGTTGCTGGATGATCCATTTAAACCAGTAAAATATGAAATCAAATAAAGCTGTGGGAATTAACGCTCAGTGAAACTCTTTCATGAAGGATTTACTGCATTGAGAATGTTG